CCCCAAAACCCCAAAACCCCAAAACCCCAATGTTTAAATAAATAATTGAATGGACCCATTATTGCTGAAAAATAAAGGTATACTCTTTTGCTGAATAAATTTAATTTTCACTTCTTACACCAATTTATGATCCTATTAACCCAAAGAATATCCAAATATTCCCCAAGGACCGTTAAAATCCATTTTCCTACAACCCAGTCAATAAACTTAAGATTCCTCTTGAAAGGAAGCCCTTAATCTCATCTCCTGTTGCACTCACTCATGCTTATAAATCTCCTAAATTTCAGATCTAAATTATAAAAATAAAATATACATCCAGCAAGCTGATGCAGACTCAACTAAATTTAGAGAAAATATTAAATCTAAGAAAGAGCTTGAAGAACAAAAAGAACACCCAGTTAAAGAAAAGTTCGAACTGGAATAAACCGTATAGTGCATCTGTCAAAAATTCGAAGGTATAGAAATCGCTCTATCTGTGATAAGTAAGGCTAGGCTATTCATCTCGTAGGGATTACATCAAGTCCTTCGGAGACACACTTGTAGCTAACAAATTCGATATGTCTAAGCATGAAATCTCCCGAGCACGGAAAAAGAGCCTAATTCAGACCCAAACATCGAGTTAGTTGTTATACTTAATCATAGAATTTTGGGAAAACACTAAATTAAAGGCTGAGCTTTCCAAGAGGAAGCAGTCTGACTCTGATGGCAGCCCTGTTTTCAAAGGCTTTAGATATCATAAAAGATCATCGACCTTGAGTATATATCTCTACTGATAAATTTTAGAATCAAATCATACAGAAAGCACCACTCCTCCAGACAGTAAGGCAGGATATATCACCGAGTACAAAATGAAGAATCTTATGAATGATCTGAAGAAAAACTTGACTGAACGATACGAAAAGAAGATAACAGAGCTCAAGTTCAGCTATGAAACCGAGATCTCAGATCTGACAAAGAAGCTTGAGCACAAGACTAAGGAAAACAGAGAAATTGTATGTATCACTTTCCTTACTCCATCATAGATTGAAGCTGCTGATGAGAACAGTAAATATATCAATAATATTAGGTAGGAAATGCGGTAAAATAATCGACAAACTCAGGGAACAACTCAACACTCAGAATAAATAAGTACCATTCCCTCAATGCGAAGTCTGAGAACAGTAAGTACAGGCATAATTTCTCTAGCATCCTTAGGTTTTACTGAGGAAAAATAAGCAAACCGAAAGACTGAGGGAAACAATGGGGTTCTTTATAAAGAACTCCACTATATACTCGGCCAAGACTAAGGATTACAAGATGGCCTGACTGCATCTCCAGGATGAGAACAAGCAGCTGCTAGAGGCTAACTACAATTTAGAACAAACTTTGGAATCATTACAGAAAGAAAAGCTACAAATTGAGGAAAAGTGAAGTACGGTGAAGAATGAAGCACAGAAGATCAAAGACTGCCTAAAACTTTTAGGTTTAACCCTTCAAGACATTAAGAGGAACTTTAATCACGGCCTTGTGTACTTAGTCAAGCCTAAAAGTCCCAAAAGGATTGTACTAATTACTACAGATTTTCAGATGAAATCTGAACAAAGAGAAATCATGGAAATGGGTAAGAAATTATTAAAATAGTTTGTTTTAGATGAAAAACAAAAAATCGATTATTTCCAGTTCCTTAACGGACTCCTAGTGAAAACAGTCGGGTGATATAATGCTGAGAAGCCAATAATGGACCTTTTCAAAAGAAACGAGCAAGATGTTTATAACTTCACCCACTATTCCGAAGGAGATATCGTCAATGGAGTTTGGCAAGGAAAAGAGTAAGGTCCACATACATAAACCTCTTTGAAATATTTCAATAATTTATTCTTGTTAGGGGTTTTGGGGTTTTGGGGTTTTGGGG